CTGTTATACACACTACCCATGTTGCTGTATGAAGTAGCCAAATGAGGATGATATGAAGGAAGAGCTTTTTGTCCAATTTCAAGTGCTTTTTCGTGATATGAAAGTGCTTTCGGGTACTCTGCCATACTGTTATACACACTACCGATGTTGCTGTATGAAGTAGCCAAATGAGGATGATTTGAAGGAAGAGTTTTTTCTCGAATGTCAAGTGCTTTTTCGTGAGATGAAAGTGCTCTCGAGTACTCTCCCATCTTCTCATAGACACTACCGATGTTGCCGTAGGAAGTAGCCAAATGAGGATGATTTGAAGGAAGAGTTTTTTGATAGATTTCAAGTGCTTTTTCGTAAAATGAAAGTGCTGTCGAGTACTCTCCCATGCTATCATGGACATTACCGATGTTGTTGTATGAACCAGCCAATGAAGGATGATTTGAAGGAAGAGTTTTTTCTCGAATTTCAAGTGCTTTTCCGAAACATGAAAGGGCTTTCGAGTACTCCCCCATCTTACTATAGACGCTACCGATGTTGTTGTATGGAATAGCCAATGAAGGATGATTTGAAGGAAGAGTTTTTTCTAGAGTTTCAAGTCCATGTTCGTAATGCCAAATAGCCTTTTTATAAGCACCTTGATTTGAATGAATATATCCTAAAATAATATAATATTGCCCCTTTTCACACTCATCCAATGTTTGTTCGAATAATATGTTGTAAAGTTCTTCAGCTTTATTAAATTGACCAATTTTAAGCAATAAGTCACCCAATCTTTGCCATCCAGTACCAACAGCTTTTTCTCGTATCTGATCTGTAAGCACGCGTAGTTGTTGGTCATCATCCGATGTTAATTGTAATTCAACTTGATAAAGTGCATTCTTATTATTCAGTTGTATAATTTCACTCACTCGAAAAACAGTGTGCATAGAGAAGAGAATTTCTTGTTCTTCGTTATAATAACTCACTTCGTTGATGGAGGCAAATGATGCTGATTTTATACAAGGATCAATCAACATCTTAAAAAGAATACCTACCGTGTCTGTGTTTTCTGACGAACTATAAGCAAGTCCAAGAGCTATGTCCTGTTCCGTACTAGTAGACAAAAAATTATTGAAAGACATTAAACCACCTTTTGTTTTTTGCAATTTTTTGAAACTTGCTTTGGATAGACCTTGCCCCCGGTAAACTATGAATGGTTTTCCGTGATAGCTATTAACCTGCTGTTGGTGTAGCTGTTGTATTTGTTGGTGAAGGTCATGAATGAAAAAACCCATATTAATTATAGTATCGCCTTCCATAGAGCGAAGAGCATAATTGAGCATTGAATAGATATTGGATGGGAAAGTATACCACCAAATAGCTAATTGGGAACTATATTCTTTTTCAAAACGGTCAATATATTTTGGTGACACGCAGTCATGATCTCGACAGTAAGCAATAAAGTCTTTGATAGACTGTTTATTATGTTCCATATCAAGGAGAATTTCCTTGAACAGTTGGGTATACATAAAAGTTGGCTCCAATTGATTCAAATTATTCGTCGACGCCATTTCCTTTTCTGTGATAAAACTCATAGCTATTGAATCTTGATTGAACTGCTTGATACCGATTCGTAATGCTTGGCATAGATCGCCAATGTTGGTACGAACGCTCTTGATTTTTTGCCATTCTTTTGTCCATTCATCATGTAGGGTTTCAATATCATTGAAGATATAGACACCATCCAGCTGAGGAATGTCATCGATGAGGGGCATTATTTGTCGAAACATAGCATCCTTGACAACGAGAAAAAATTTGATGTCTTCTTGAGCATCTGTAAGAAAGTCGATACATGCATCTCGTTGAGTAAAGACATTGACATCACCAGTAATAGTTCGTATTTGTTTTAATGTATTTTCATAACCTTCGTTTGTTTGATTGATGCTGGTATCTATCCACAGGAGAAGGTAGTTTTGTGCCATACGTTGTCGTGGTTGACATATATTTGATGTTGCCGTTGATCTGGATGATTCAGTAGCATTTTGGCTTGATTCTGAGTCGCTCATTCTGATCTTGTTGTAATTTATTGTAGAAGATGAACTTGTCAGAAGATATTGTTGTTTGAATGAAGAGAAAGATTACCGTTCTTCTATATATAGACAGTGATTTATTTTTTCTCAATTTTTCGAAGAATTCGAATGCTTGTGGTTGTTTTCTTGTCGGTTAAGAATAAACTTCACGTGGTTTCTTTTGAAAATAATATTATGCAAAACAAAAACACAGATAAAATCAAGCAAATTCATCGATGCGAAGCCAGTACGACGGCCAAATACATTTCCAATACGATTGATCAATCAAAAAAAAACATACAGTATCTATCCAGATCCATAAAATACCCAATACCTTCTTTATTCAAAATTTCTAATTCACGTCCGAGAAACCGAAAAGCGTATTAGATCTGACCCAAAGATGGTCTCGAAAATCCGGATTCATTAAGTTTTTTCTGCATATTTCTGGCTTTTCGATTTTTTCTGGATTTCAGTCTTTTTTTATTCCAATTACATTTCACTTATTTTTAGCATCTTAAAAATTTATTAAACATTCGGCAGAAATTTAATATTTTCCTCTATTAATATCTCTAAAAGAGTTACCAGTCAATCGGTGGAGTATGAAAATTGAAATAATAGATAAGATGTACATATCCTAGTAGTGAGAGATCAGTTTCGATGATTCTCTATGAGATAATAGAACGCAAGGAAGATGAATGGGCTGAACATTTGCTGATATAGTGAACAAGACTGTCAGATCGAAAAGCTAAAAATCGGAAAATATTTTTTTCCACTAACACAATATGTGTCATCAACAGAGAAAAAGCGATTTGTGATTTAAAATGATTTATTTTTGATTTTTGGAAGATCTGGCAACCCTGCTAGTAAGTGTGCTGTGCTCAATATTACAATGAACCGTATAATAGCGAGGAAGTAAACGAGTAAGTTGTTGCTATTATGCAATTACGTCTGTGCATCATCATCGTCGGTCGATTGATTATTTTATATTGAATTCCAGGCCGTTTTTTTCATTCGATAAGATATTAATTGAAATAACTACTACGATGAAATAATTTTACTATTAATTTATAATAATATCTGCATCTTCTATATTTTGTTTTTT